TTCATTGAAAGTGAAACAGCCACGGCATACCAATTGTTGTTATCTTTAAGTGGACACGTGACCATCATGCTTCCATACCTGAATGGTAAAACGATTGGAAACGGATTAGAAAAGATCAAATGTAATGAAATAAAATGGAGTTTAATGTCTTACTTTTCAGAGCTAACCGGGATAATGAATACGGACATACGCAATGTAGTGAATTATGAGGGAAACTTTGCATTGCCAACGGTGTTTCCGCTTCCGGTTGGCTCGTTCACATACACCAAAACTAGAAAAAAAAATGAAGGAATATTTTCTGTAAAATTGAAGGAATATTTTCTGTAAAGGAATATTTTCTGTAAAGGAATATTTTCTGTAAAATTGAAGAAATATTTTTTTTGTAAAATTGAATATTTTCTGTAAAATTGAATATTTTCTGTAAAATTGAATATTTTCTGTAAAATTGAATATTTTCTGTAAAATTGAATATTTTCTGTAAAATTGAATATTTTCTGTAAAATTGAATATTTTCTGTAAAATTGAATATTTTCTGTAAAATTGAATATTTTCTGTAAAATTGAATATTTTCTGAAAAATTTAAAGAATATATATTCCGAAAAATTTAAAGAATATATATTCTGTAAAATTTAAAGAATATTTTCTAAAACAAATCAACATGAATTCTATCAACTGCTCGCAATAAAAACTTACATTCTGCCATGGTGGTCCTTTAAGAGAGATAACGTGCCATTTGTTTGAAGTTGAGATACGTTTTGTGTATTTTTGTAAAACCAACAAACATAATGCCTTTTAGGCCGTATATAAGTGCGGTGTATTCCAATTATTTTCACTTTATTTTCCAATGGTACTGCAAAAGCCGAATAAACAAACGTAATATTATGATCAAGGATTTGCCACTCGTCACTGCCTTTTGGCCACGAAAGGTTAACGGCGCATTGGTTTCCAGGCACAAACTTCGTTGATTTTAAACTTTGACGCTTTGGTTTCTCATTTGTACTGGGAATTTGTTTAACCGATGTTTTTTCTCGGAGAGTGGTTTTCTGCAATATCCCCAACTCATCGAAATGATTAATTCTTGCTTTCATTTTCCCCAATAAACTCTCGTTAAGGTTATACCAATATATGAACATTAGAAAAAGTCCAGCGATATAAAAAAGATAAGTAATCCTTTTAATCTTCATCGTGAATGTTTTTGGAATTTTTAAAAAAATTGAAATCCGGCGTATGTTTACCAATCCAATATCTAAATGAACTTCTTTTCGGAACTAACGAATCTTTGATAAATACAATATTGAAACAAAAGAGAAATGGCACATCTGATTAAAACAAGAAAATTTGCTGTCTAATTCGATCCGAATTCATTTTGGCAGCATTTGAATTAACTGGAAAACAGATCCGTTTTATATCCGATGCAGAAATGAACAAATGTGAAAATTGGTGTTATATTTGTTCCTAATTCACTTTGACATAATTTCAACTGACTGGACTGATACGTTTTATATCTGATGCAGAAAATAACAGAAGTTTAACAAATAATCCACAGGCATGTACAGGTTCACGTGTTAATCAAGTACTATATTCCAAAATTTTAAAAAGTAAGAATTAAAATATATCCGTCCGAATTAAAATATATCCAAGGAACGAGCTAAAAACCAGCACGCACACTCATTATCAATCTCTTCATTTGACTAGATTTAAGGTACAAACTGTCTGGTTGGGGGAGTTTTTAGAATCAGTGATGTGACATGACCTAACGAGTATGTTATTTCACAAAATAAGAAATACACTGGGCTACAGTAAAAGGATTGGAAAAAAGTCATCTTAAATATAAATTTATTTCTGAAGGGGAGGATCTTTTTGTATGTTTATATTAAAAGCTATTTAAATCACATTCAAGACTGGTGGAAATACACGACCTTTATCTGATTACAACTTCACCTTTTAATCTGCAGACACATTAAAACAGCATGTATGGGCCCGAGATATCCATGATTGTGACAATGTTAAAAAATAAATGATGTCTGTTTAATTGTTAAGGAACACCCACCATTTTCTTTTAAAAGGGGTTTGCTCCCATTGCTAAAGACCCCTACGCACAAGCGAATTATTAAAAAAAACGATTGTACCATATATTGGTCACGAAATGACCTAGTTTGTGTCATACCTATGGACCCCCCCCCCCCCCTCTCTCTCCACACACAATCTGATTAAAATACAGACATATATTTTTTATACTTTCGATGGCCTAAACTACACGAAGATCTGACTGGTTGTAGCGATACAAGTGGCTTTTGACCTATGACGTCAGACATTTGATTAACCAATAAGCATTGATGTTACTAGTGGATTACCCACAGTGCCGTGCAAAACATGCCCAAAGCTCGCCGTAACAGACCATTTCATTGGCTAAGCCCTCACACCATTCAGAACATGTCAATGATAACAACTTTTCCAGATCCTATGTAGTAAAGACAAGTAAAACGAAATTTTGAACTATAAATACGAAACGAAATAGGATCTGTGTTTTAATCAGATTGTCCACACAGACACACACACACAAACCCACACACACACACGCGCGCACACAGAGTTTTTATTGAATCATTTTACAACCTTAATACACTCACTGTACAGTTTATGAAGTTCTCACGTGAATGTACACTATATTTCTTGGCAAATATGCTCCGAGGTGAAACATGTTAAAGGGATGAAGTGAGCCAGTCGCGAAATCTAATACAGAGTGCAGTTAAGGTTTAGAGTTTGGTCCTAATAATTTTAACACGTTTTACTAATCACTGAGAACAGCGTTCCTTTTTCAAGTATTGCAAAAAGTGAGCGACAAGGAAAATGTCTTATAGACATGCATATTCTACATATATCCAAAAAGTAATTGATTTCATAAAATATTGACAATTTATGGATAAGTGAAATATTGATATACATTTCCCAGTGTAGGTACTTTTTATTTTGATAAAAATAATATTTATTCAAACGTAATTATTATTGCATATTATAAGGTGCATAATAGATCTGTCGTATTTAGTTGCGGTCGCAGGGGGGTTGGATTGCTAAATGGTTAGCGTGCGCGCGCTGTATCATAAAGTCTGTCATTGAGTCGACTGGCGTGGTTTCGAATCTCCGGTTGTACGTGACAAGGAGTAGGGTCGCATGTCCAACCTCGTGGGTTTTCTCCGGGTCCTCCGGTTTCCTCCCACTGCTAAAGACCCCTACGCGCAAGCGAATTATTGAAATAAAATTAAACCATATGTTAGTCCCGAAATGACCTAGTTTGTGTCGAGTGGACGTTAAACCCCATTTCTCTCTCTCTCAGTTGCGGTCGCAGAATATTGATTTCTGGGATATCATGAACGTTAACCATATGAAGGCCTCCCAAACCCTCAGAAAGACTCCATCCGACGTGTTCCTCCACTCGAAATACTGTCTGATTAAATATAGTTTCCAACATGTAATTCAATCGGACATTCGTTCCAACAGATCCTGCCAAACATCACTGACTTACGTGACAGAAAAACGCACGACGCTCTGAATGACAAACCTTGACTATCTCCTTGTTCCTATTTCTTCAGCTGGTTTTCCAGGCGTCTGTCTGTCTTGTGGGCTCGGATCTCAGATACAGATCATTTGTAATGGCCGAAGTTTTATCAACACCTTTATTAGTATTTATAATTATGAACAAAGTATAGTACATGTTTATAATTATTCTTCATTAAAACAATCAAATGATATTACCTAATAATATGAGAAGATATTGACTATTTGTAAGTTAAAGGGACCAACCCGATTTTAAGAGAGTCTTATAAATAAAAGTCCGTGTACGTATAAAATGTAAGCGTCAAATTATAGAGAAATGGTGTATTACCTTGTCGAAAAATTTCACCTCAGAAGGTTGAGTCGTTTGGGCGTGAACGTCAAAACGGCTTATCCGGACACGTAACCTTTTTAAGATTTCGGGTCAGTTATTTTTATAAAATAAAAGTCTGCTTTTATCCAGACACCGTATAATACAGCTTTGGACACCAGTCTCCATTTCCAGATGAAGACTGGTGGCTATAAGTTGCTTGAAAACGTATCACAAAATTAAGCAGTTTTGTTCTCAAATTTTTTATCGAGCTTGGCCCTTAAATAATGCATGCGTGGCACACCTGTCTATAATATTATATTGCACGAGCCAGCGTCTTACTCACTGAAATATTTCTTTAAAAGGTCTGGCCCCGAGTTCACAAAGCATTCCCAGACTTAAGTTAAGAATTTACTCAACTTTCAATCACTGTTTACGAGAAATATCTTTGATCCAAAAACACAAAACTTTGCACATAGTTTCTTTTTGAGGTATTTGATACATTAAGACAACAATAGATTTATAAAGAGCTATATTTTAGTTAGAATAAGGCAAACATTTTTGAGTAAATTCTTAACTTAAGTCTGAGAATGCTTTGTGAACTCGGGGCCAGGACACTAGCTATGCAAACGGTATATACAAATACAAATCGGTTTAAAGCCCCGAGATACATGTGGGCCAGTGACCTACCAGAGAGAGGTGGGGTGGTAACGTCCATTTGTCATAAACTATGATTCAATTTTATTTCAATAATTCACTTGCGCGTAGTGATCGTAAGCAGCGAGAGAAAAACGGACAACCCAGACAAACCCCCTTGTCACGTACAAGCGAGGAATCGAAACCACGCTACTTGGCCCAATGGCAGACCTAACCACCCAACTTGCACGCATTAACAATTCGCCCCCCCCCCCCCAAAAAAAAAATAAAAATAAATAAATAACCACTACTAATAAATATCTTGCAATTAAAGGACACTTTTATCCTAATACAGGACAATGGTAACTGTGACACCTTGGGCATATAAAATCATATTTAGTGCATGACTGACAGACAGTGGACGACAATATCCGACAACATAACAAAGGGGACGAACACAAGAAACAACAGAAACTTTATCATATTTTGTTATTTTATTAACAAAACATACATTTATAATTATGCAATGCATAAAATGATTGGTCAAACCGAGACACTGATGTTACTTAAATTACATGTTATATGCCGTTTTGCAAGGCATCGTTTCAGTATTAAAGATAACAGTGATTTTTTATGACAATAAATATCCTGTATTTCAATACAATTCATTGCTTACTTTTTAAAACAAAAACAAGGTGCACAAATTGTGTGCTACAATTATGAAGTCCACAGTAATCAATATACCGGACACAATTCCTTATCTTTAATGCCACTCAAATTACATCGAATATAGCAACATTTTTGCGCTATAATATCTCCCATAATTTGCATTTAAAGTATTTCAATACATCAGATTGGTTACTTTATAAAATATAGCAAAAAGGGTGTGCTTCAATATGCCCATGTTGTGGGACATTTAAATACATTTATTCCCTATAGTTTTAATATTTAAAATATTATCCATAGTTTGAAAGTATTTAACTTAAAACAAAATAAATTTATATGACATTTCAGTATTTAAAGTAAATCTAATGAGTAATTGTTAAACATAGATAAACTTTTCACCTGGGTCAACAATCCGGAGTTACAGAACAACCTATTTGTTGCTTTCATATCACATAAAATTAGCATAAAATGTGTGCTGTAACAAAGTCCATAATGTAGGACATTTACAGTAAATTTATATTTAAGGGACAAAATTCCCTAGTTTTAATACTATTCAAATTACACGGAAATATAGCAGTATGGGCGTGCTAAAATATCGTTCATAATTTGAAAGTATTCAACTTAAATTTAAATTTCCGGGACATTCCAGTATTTAAATTATTTCTATTTTTTAGAGGCATACTTCCCTAGTTTTAATACTACTTTAACTATTATAGGGAAATGTGACATTTTGGGTGTGCTACAATATTTATAATAATAAGTAAGTATTAAACATAGATAAATTTTTAATCTGGGTCACTCATCCGGAGTAACAATACAAACTATTTGTTACTTTAAAAAAGTATCATAAAGTGTGTGCTTCAACAAAGCCCATAATGTAGGACATTTAAAGTGTTTGTAAATACACCTATGTGTAAACTACAGAATAAAGGGTATGCTTCAAAATGCCCAAAATGTAGAACATTTTAAGTAGGGACCCATCCGGAGTTACAATACAACCTATGAGTTACATAAATATCACCCATAATTTACATTTAAAGTGTTTGTAAATACACCTATGTGTAAACTACAGTAAAAAGGGTATGCTTCAAAATGCCCAGAATGTAAGACATTTTAAGCAGGGACCCATCCGGAGTTACAATACAATCTATGAGTTACATAAATATCACCCATAATTTGCATTTAAAATGTTTGTAAATACATTTATGTGTAAACTACAGTATAAAGGGTATGCTTCAAAAGTAGGGACCCATCCGGAGTTACAATACAACCTAAATATCACCCATAATTTGCATTTAAAGTGTTTGTAAATACACCTATGTGTAAACTACAGTATAAAGGGTATGCTTCAAAATGCCCAGAATGTAGAACATTTTAAGTAGGGACCCATCCGGAGTTAGAATACAACCTATGAGTTACATAAATATCACCCATAATTTACATTTAAAGTGTTTGTAAATACACCTATGTGTAAACTACAGTAAAAAGGGTATGCTTCAAAATGCCCAGAATCTAAGACATTTTAAGCAGGGACCCATCCGGAGTTACAATACAATCTATGAGTTACATAAATATCACTCATAATTTGCATTTAAAATGTTTGTAAATACACCTATGTGTAAACTACAGAATAAAGGGTATGCTTCAAAATGCCCAGAATGTAGGACATTTTAAGTAGGGACCCATCCGGAGTTATAATACAACATATGTGTTACATCTATATCGCCCATAATTTTAAGTAAATTTATATTTAAGGGACCCAATTCCCCAGTTTTAATACGATTCAAAATAGTATGCATAATTTGAAAGTATTAAACTTGAATAAATATACATTTTCGGGACATTGTATAGTATTTTAAGTAAATCTAATTTTCAAGGACATACTTCCCTGGTTTCAATACTACTTCAACTATTATAGGAAAATGTAACATTTTGGGTGTGCCACAATATCTATAATAATGAGTAAGTATTAAACATAGATAAACTTTTCATTTTAGTCACCTATCTCGAGTTTCAATTTAAATGTAGAATATAGGTTTGCTACAATTAAGCTCATGGTCTCGAAATATTTGAACTTTATTTCAATGCATTAATTCCATTTTGATTACATGGAAAAACAGCATAGTTAGACTGTTGTAATGTCAACTATAATTGGGAAGTATTTATAAGTATCAATGTACATTTAAACTTCCGGGACATTTCAGTCTCAAAGCATGTCTACTTGTCGGTCAGCATGTCGGAGTTCCCGTACAATCGGACTAGTAGCATTATACTATACTATTATACTCGTGCTACAATATATCCACTTTTATATTTTGAACATCTATTGTCCAGGGACGCCTTTTGTAATTTTCAGTACAATCCGGCTAATAAAAATGTAGCAGTGTAGGTATACTAACATATCTCTCTAAAATCGTAAGTAATTTAGATAAAGAACTTGTATCATATCCAACACCTATTCCGAGTTTCAATAACGTCAATCTGGTATTTAGCGTAATGCGCGTACCACAATTACGCTTATGATTTGGAAGTATCAACTTTAATTTCAGGGACATCCATCCCGAAATTTAATACATTCCATCAGTTACCTGGAATATAGCCCATAATTCTGACGTTTTTAACCTAAATGGTCTTCACGTCATGGGACTACAATCGTTCTTTTCTGCACAATCCATTCATTTCTTGAACGTACTATATAGTACAGAAGAACTTCATCTCCCATTCAGAGGTAGTTCCAGGTGTGAGCTCTGGAGTGTTTATTACTCCACCATAATACCTGATCGGGATACCATGTAGAGTTCCACCACTAGGTGTTAGTTGATAACAACAGCGACCCTGTTACCTATAAATAATATAAAACTTATTTACAAAATGGAATGACAATTTATATTTTCTTATAATTGATATCAAGATTTTTGTCCCTTTCGCAAAATTGTAATTATGATATTCCCCATAAGCCTTTTCTAAAATTTTCTGTTAAGCTTCCCCGTCCCCTCCCCCTTCCTAACACAAAACCTAATCTCAAATCCCCTAATCCAAACAAGATAACCTCCAAAAAACAAATAATACCCCCCCCCCCCACCCTCCAATCCAAACTTAAAGTTGATTAAAACAAGAGAGAGAAAGAGAGAGAGAGAAATGGGGTTTAACGTCCACTCGACACAAACTAGGTCATTTCGGGACTAACATATGGTTTAATTTTATTTCAATAATTCGCTTGCGCGTAGGGGTCTTTAGTAGTGGAAGGAAACCGGAGGACCCGGAGAAAACCCACGAGGTTGGACAGGCAACCCTACTCCTTGTCACGTACAACCGGGGATTCGAAACCAGATTAAAACAAGAGGTTTGTTACTGATAGTTTACTGCCCTACAAAGTTAACTTACCGTTGCATTTACTGCTTGGTTTTGGGCCATTGGTCTAAATTTCATAATCAGAATCATTGTCATCGAAATCATCATATATATGTCTGACCATGTCCTCGTTCCCATTATCTTCCTTCTTCTCTTTCTCCCTCTCCTCTCCATCATCATTGTCATCCTCATCATCATCATGATCATCACCACCACCATTCACTTCGTCATAATCGTTTTCCGCATACTCTTCAATATCGTTCAGATCAGGGCAAAAAACATTATTCTCATCATCGTCCTCATCATTACTATAGTAACCATCGCCGTCACCATCCTCCCATTCCTCATTACTATCGTTACCACATTCATAATTACTATATTCACCATCGTCAACCCAATTCCCCCATTCCTCATCTGTTTCATTTGTATGACAGTCATCATCTGTTTTATACTTTGGACGTTTTGCGTTCCTGTTAACAGTGACGTTAACCCCAACACGATCAATACTTCGTTTTATAAGAGAAAGTTGAAGTTTCCTGTTTTGGTCACTCTTTTTAAGGTTCTTAATCTCTCTCCTTAACTCATTAATTGTTTTTAAAATTCCTTCTGGAGTTTCAAAGACAATGCTGTTCTTCTCTCCAAGTTGAACAGATGCCTCCTACAACGAAATGATGTTTTAGCATCAGTTATAAATGGATGTTATATAATGGGCTTACTAAACATTATCACTCGATGTAATTAAAACAATGTTTATCTTTATTTCTGATGTTATAAACTCCAGGTTAGTGCTAAATGGTAAGGCCAGCTCAATTTTTCGTCATAGGTCAGGAGATGTAAACATGGCTAGCGCTGATCTCAATCCTATAACCCTGGACCTAGACCCAATGCTTACAATAACCGTAACCTACAATCTCGCCAACAATCACATGACCTAACCTTATTTACATCTCTGTGACCTTAACAAAAAGAGATTTAGCCCCGCAGAAGATACCTGAAATTTGTAACAACCTTTGTTCGAAAGACTGGCGTGGTCAACGTTGTTCACGTTAAAAAGAAACGAGGTTCAAAACCGTTCTGTTACGTGCATGCCAAAGAATATTAGGATGTACCTTGGTTTTGTAGCATTTTCGTTTGTCACGCCATCCTACACCTCTGACAAGGAGTAATCAAGTTGGAATTTCCCGAAACCGGAACCTCCTGGTTACTGAGAGAGTGAAAGAGGGAGAGGGAGAGAGAGGGAGAGAGAGAGAGAGAGAGAGAGAGAGAAGTGGGGTTTAACGTCCTCTCGCCACAAACTAGGTCAATTCGGGACTACCATATGGTTAAATATTATACTCAATGACAGACCTTATGATACAGCATGCACGTGCTAACCGTTCGGCCATCCACCCCCCACACATGCTAACCATTCGCCCCCCCCCCTCTGGTTACTGAGCCAACTCGGCTCCGGTAAGTGGTTTAAAAGACACATACTTATTTCTTACCTGTGTATAAATGTTGAAGTTATAGGTATCACCCTGAAATAAAAATAATGAACATTCATTAAATTTCCATAAAGGGATATTAATTATAAGTACTTCTTTTTTTTTTAAGAATTAAGAACAAATATGGATGAAATGTGTTCGTTGCATATTCATCAAGACGATTACCGCACATTCCCTCTCATTAGGTTAGTTAACATCTTGATCTCGATGTACAAAGATATAAACGAGATAATTATTCTTTAGCTGACTGATGTCTTGAAATGATGTTTTGGAAAAGAAATGTTTTCGACAGGACTACTTTTTAAATGTCTACATTTGTCTTTTAGTCTGAAATATAGTGCCTTTAATTAACATAACAATGACTGAACACCCACATTAATTTCCCCATTGACTTCAATGTTAATTCTGGCCTCTTTGCCCACCTCCAACTTTTCCCCAAATTTTCGTTGGGCTGAATGCTTTTCACTACAGACAGATGAACAAATGGTCATGTCTTTGCACTAAAATTTGTATGAGGTTAACCACCAAAATTTTGAGATACACAAACTTGATGAAGCATACTAAAAACATGTAACTAGTTGCCGTACATATCGCCGTAGCCAACCTGATAACCCGCCTCAAAATCATGAATATTTACGAAAACCTGGCAGAACATGTTAATTCAAACCCTCTTCGTCCATTCTAGACCAAAAAATCAACAAAAAAGGGCATGCAAAAGGGGAGAAAAGAGAGAGAGAGAGAATTGCTATAAATAGAGGAACTACAATTTAATGGTGGTCTGCATCCGTACGAAACAGAACACGGTTATTTCCCTTTCCCCAATCCGTTGACTAATGTAAGTAAAATATAACATAGATAATTCTTTATCTTTCATTTTCTTCTGTTTAGCACGTAATAATGGGAATTCCCACGAGAATGCCCGTACAATACTGATTAAATTGAAAATAAAAAAACCCGCGGTCACAGTTCAGGGTCGCAATCTATAGTTGCCAAAATGTTGGAAATGCGGTACAGGTGTGTCTGAAGGATGGGTCAGCTTTTAGACGGAAGAAATGACAAGAGAACGACCGAAATTCTATGGAACAGCAAACCAGATTTGTGTGTGTGTGCGGGGGGGGGGGGGGGGGGCGGCACGGAATGCTCGAACAATTTTATAGGGCGAAATGTCAATGGGGAGAGAATTACACACCTGGACGTTAAACGTTGAATTATGCCCCACGTATGGTTTCCATAAATTTAAAATACCATATTTAGTCCCGAGCTTCTGCAATATTATGATTGCAGAAAAAAAAGAGACAAGATATAAGAACGCCTCCACGTGAGTTTCCTCCCACTGCTAAAAACCCCTACAGGCTACGCGCAAGCGAATTACTGAAATAAAATTAAACCATGCCCCGAATGCCTCTAGTTTGTGTCGAGTGGACTTCACTCTCTCCTTCTCCTCCCTATTTCACACCACGACAGCCGTGTGATATCCTGTAGGCCCTACTGTGGCGGTACATAAATAATTTAGGTCTGTGTTTCATTTATACTTACCGCCATCTCCTTAATGGTACTGGTCTTATCCGCTGTTATTAGATCCGCGGATGCCATTATAATCAACGAATAACGAAAAAAACGAAACAAAAATAAAGCAAAATTAAACTTTAATTTCTACAAGAATGTGCTGCAAGTAGAAATAATAGCTAGAATGAAACATAACGTGCAATTATTTGATTGGCGAGCGAGATGGACGCTCATGCGCAATACTGGACGTAAAAACCTAAATGTCTTATAATAGAGGTTTATATTTATGCATATATGATGTCACCGGTGCATGATATTTATTTAGCCCATTTAGACGTAACATTATTGATCATGTGATGGTTGTTATGCGGTTGAGACCAGTTTATTTATTCGCTCAGGTATACAGGTACGCATTGCCATAGTACACATGGTATATTAGTTATCAAGTTGAATGTCATCTTCAATAGAAGGCTTGATCACGCGTTTAACTGCGTTCATCATATAACAATGATATAGCTAGCTATCAAGGTGAACGTTGGCAGTTGAAGCAGTGAATATATATATATATAGCTGATACAGGTCTATAGCCCACCACCTCACCCATATCTTAACGTCTCATCGACATTAAAATACATGGGTCAATTTGGGCTTAACATACTATTATTTTATTTGGTCATGTGTACAAAACGACGGAGGACATATTGGAGACTAACATAAAGTTGTGTTTCTGCCTACTCTTCTCCTGGGCCCGGTTCCTAGAAAATTCTTAAAGTAAGCACAAAGTCGTTCTTCACTTTTTCTTACGTAAGAAACTTATAAAAATACCGTCCCTAGAAAATTCTCAAGACCATTCTTACGTAAGCACAAGTCAAGTATAAGTCTAAGCACATTGTGACTGGTAAAGTTTTTTCTTGGAACGCATAATAACGTTCTTGTGCTTACAATGAAGTCTACTTAAAATCTAAGCACAAGAACGTTCTTAAGAATTTTTTGGGAACACAAAATAAGGTAAGTTTACTTAAATGCAAAGTCTACTAAAATCTAAGCACAAGAACGTGCTTAAGGGTAGTAGAGAGTGTCTTTTGATTTACGCGGAGAACTCTAGGCCGGGCAATACAGCTGTAGTATCAAATTTCAAGTGAACTATAGGTATTCTATTATTCTATACATATTTAATTACAATATAGGCTGCACAATAGGCGCCTACATTTTAGGCGCCAATAGGCACCCTACATCGGGTGTAGGCAAATGCAAACATTTGAACCGGCGCGTTGTAGGCGAAAAAATAAACCAGGGCCTCTTTTAAACCCGTAACCCGTAGCTCGAGCTAATTCTGAACTATTTCTTCTTCTTTTGAAATTTGTGTGAATGAATGATTGACACAAACGGGCATTTGGTATCGTAGCAACGCGCGTAGACAAAACAAAGTGACTCATGCTGGCGCGGCTTATTCAGATATCATCAGCATAGCGGCTTACCTTATTCGCCGATTTCTTGATTATCCTTACACGACAGGCAGGTCTCGGTGGACCATGCTACGAGCCTACGGGTCGCCTACCAATTTGAACACTCCTAAAAAATTGTCGGGGAAATATTTGAGGGGGAGGGGGCTTAGCCAGAACGGATCAATTGACAGACAGCTGTGGGCACAATATACGTCCTCATGAAATCAAGAGATTCACAATCACTAAACCTTTTGGTTTTGTGTCAGAAGTGTTGATTTATTTCGTGCAGTGGATATATGGTTCATAGACACAGTTACCTTAAATTGTAGCATAGGCGTACGGGCTCGATGAATGTTAGGGGGCAGAACTGAGATGCCCGAAAAAAATCTCGTTTACAGACAGCATAGCGGAGCTTACCATGTAGCTGAGTTTTCCTGCTATTTCAGCCCGAATACCAATCAACCAATCCATCGTTCACAGAAACGCGACGGTTGGGAGAAAATTTGAACATTTAACTGCCACAAACGCGTTTCCTGCCCGTGAATATAGCAACTCCAACGTGGTGCAAATTCGCCTAACCCGAATTCTAAACAACCAATCGTTAAGTCCAAGATTTAGAAAATATTTCAGGTCTAGGAAAATACCTGGAATAGGCAGATTTAGCTCTTGCATTAGTATTCAATTTTAAAAAGCAAAGTAAAATTAGTATTATAATAGATTTCGGGCACTTTATTTTGCCAACTAGATGATATATTATTTTTTTTCACTGCCTGAAAAGTCAGATTGACCCCTCTCCCCCTGGGAGGGATTAGGTCAGCTCGAAGCCTGGGAGTGAGTGATATTGGCCTGGTGGAATTGCACTGCCTTGGGGCTGTCTTAACAATATAGGCTCCAGGGCAAAGCAGTGCACTGGATGCCCTACCTACAAAACCACTCACAGGAATCAAAATGTAAATGGTAGATAAAACTAAACATATATTATTGTACTTCTTAACAATATCAGTGTTTAAACAATTAAAAAAAAAACAGCGGCTGTCAGGCAGGATACGCTCACATTTTGCAAGAGATGGATAGAGAACAAGCTAAAAACAAACAGGATTTTTTGTACAATCAGAGGCAATAATCCAGAAAGTTATGGTCTGAAATGCGCAAATATCAAAAAGGACTGAGAACTTTGGGATATAAAGATATGTTTTAAGTTTCATCAGAATCGGAACAAAAATTGTGACCTCTAGAGGGTCCACAACCTTCGTATTGCATACTTGTACACAGTTCGCGTACAAAGAGCGGCCATTTTGTCGGGACGGACGTCCGGACGGACAGGGGGGACGACAATATACGTCCACATGAAAATATGGGCGTATAAAAACCATGTTGTACAGCAAAGATGAGCCACCTATGCTCATGCCCCCCCCCCCCACCAACAAAACTACTTAGTATATTCATGCGTTAGATGGCCCTGGCACTATCGTTACCTGCTCATGCCCGCCCCCCACCAACAAAACTACTTAGTATATTCATGCGTTAGATGGCCCTGGCACTATCGTTACCTGAGTTAGGGTTACGTTAGGACCGAGGGTGCGTCCCAGGACATGAGTTCAATTCCAGTTAAACTGCTGGCAAGTGCATAAGACGATAGTTACCACTATTTACGCGAAGCTTAAAGCGGAACTGCTTTTAACAGTCGTATTGTGAAACTTTTGTTTGCATAATTTTTGCCCCCGCCCCCGTGACAGCACCCCATTCCATTTTAGTGACAACAGGTGTGTGGTGCCTAATCAATAGTAAACATAATCCGTCTCGTGACAAAAACAGAATACAATAGAGTTTATGACGGCATAAACGTTGCAACGAAATTTTAAAAGTATGGATACATTTGTGAGTTAGTGTGGGATAGAAGTCAGGAGAGAGAACACATCTCAGACCAGGTGAATATAAATATATCATAATATGTACATTAAAATGTACGCATATCTAATGTATTCTCATTGCGTTTTCGTCGGTATGCACCTTTTTGTGTAGTATTGGTTTCTGAGGTAGCATTGATAGTCACTATTTTATAGTTTTCCGGTGTCGCTCCTTGTGGTTGCTTTCCTTGTCGTTTCATACGGTTGCTTCCGGTCTTACTTCATCATTTGTAAAAGTCGATATTGTCGCTGTTGAGCTGGCTCTATCGCGAAGTCTTGAAAAAAAACAAGAGTTAGTTTTTAGTCTGTTAAGTTTAAAGTAGCTAAGTCTCTAACTCAGTATCATCCAAAATCTTCGACATTGAAAACACGATTTAATTGTCAATTTAAATCAACATTGATGTTGTGATCTTACGGGGAAAAGATGGGCTTCTGATATCCGATAATTAAGTCAAAATAAACATTTTACCGATGGTACACGAATCGTGTACAATGGTGCATTTCAGCGCCATTTTTAACAAGGGACTCGTAGAAAGGGGCTAGATATATTTCACAAGTCATGTCAAACAGTGACGTCGTATTCTTCTCTGGAGAGCATGCGCAATAAATACTATCGGTATAGAGTTGAATAACCAGACGCTAGAGATTGCCATTGGATTGAGACTTTTGGCGTATTTCGCCGAATATAACTGATAAGAAATTGCAGTAAAAACTGAAACGATTGAATGTAAATCAGTTTATATACATTCATATTACATTATTATATGCGTTGCGACCCATTTGTGTCAATTTCTAGATCCAAAATATTAGCGATTTAGCTCCTTTAATATAACAAAAACATAATTATATGTTTGACAGAACGTGTCACATATGACGTAAGTGAAATATACAATACAATATATATAAAATTACGTTGAAAAAAGAAATAAACCACATGTGTCATATTACGTACATTATATTAAATAGCCTGAACAAGTTCAACAGAACTGAAAACGTTAGTTAAATAACAGGACGGTGTGTGTGTGTGTTGTGGGGTGGGGGGTACTCGCTTTGCTGTAAGAGAGAGAGAGAGAGAGAGAGAGAGAGAAATGGGGTTTAACGTCCACTCGACACAAACTAGGTCATTTCGGGACTAACATGTTTTATTTTTATTTACATAATTCGCTTGCGCGTAGGGGTCTTTAGCATTGGGAGGAAACCGGAGGCCCCGGAGAAAACCCACGAGGTTGGACAGCTTTGCTGTAAGAGGCACTGTTTGGAATAATACATTGTCACATGATAATAACATCCCGTGACAATTACACTCGGGGCAAGGAGTCCCCGTCACGTAGATAACTTGGTGGTTTTATGACGTAATTTGTATGTTATAATTAAGATATGATAATGATTTGAAAGTCTTCGCTAAGCGAACTTTAGAATTTCGATCATTTCTGGGGACCTGCACAAGCTGAGCTATGATCGATCCAATCATAATTATTATTTACAAGTTTACTTAGACTATTTAGTAATAGTATCGTCTAGTATATATTAAGAAATCATCCAAATTGCAGTTGTTGTCTTTCCACATTTACATTGCCATACCATAGAGTATGTCATACGGTAGTGCAACTGCAGAGGCCAATAAGCTTTAGCGTTCAGTGTAATATTACGAATAACTGTTATGATTCAGTAGATAGATATAGGACATGATAGATTATATTTTCAATGAATCCCAATCTCAATACACTGGTCCACTCTATTTATCTCGACAATCGGTGTCGCACTGTATTCCCGGCTGTCTATTTTTAACAATTGTCCCACGTAAGGGCTCGCTACTTTGGAGCTCATGAGGGGGCTTCGTCGAGGTTCGCAAGTCCGTTCTTTGACATTTTTCACTCTGGTCGGGTAAACTGGTCAGTCTATTTATTTTGACTATCAGTGCCTGAAATACTACCAGACTGCATTTCAGGGAGGCCACCCATACCCCTAGTTGAAGCTTCCGCCTTTGCCCCCATTGCCCCTCCTATCACCGGTGGCTGGCATCGCCACTGCGTGTTGGTATCCTTAACGATGAATAATACAGTTATAGTGAAAGATTAAAGGCTTCGTGCAGACCATTAAAGGTTTCAGCTGAAGCTTTAAAGGACAATATTGGTGTGAGTCAATATCACATATGTGATAGAACTGGTTTAACACGTTCCAAATATAATTTTAACACAGAGATCATTGCTACGATAGATGCGTTATGAAGCGTTCAAGAAAAGGGAAGTGACAAACGCAAAAGGAAAACACGAGTTATCCTTCTATATAACCAACTGAAGTGACGAGTGATAACAGATTCACGGGCGAATTTGTTATATGAGACTGTGGGAGGATATCTTACAATTAAAAAAAGTAACCGACTCTCACTAGATAAGAGACAGCGAGAAAACTACAAAAAGTCCGTGCATTACAATGTTTTTTATAAAGAAGAGAATGATTAAGAACAAAGGGAATGTACGGGCTATTTCTGTTTTTCGCGTTTCCCTTATCCAGTGGCATTCAATTACTTTTTTGAATTATCAGATATCCTCTCACAGTCTCACATAACAATTTTTCGTCTTCAAAGGAATTATTAGTGAGCAGAAATTAACCCGTGTATCTGTTATCACTCGTCACTTGAGTCAGTTATATAGAAGGATAACTCGTGTTTTCCTTTTGCGTTCGTCACTTTCTTTTCTTGAAAGCTTCACAACGCATCTATCGTAGCAAAGCTATATGTATTAAAATTATATTTGGAACGTGTTTAACCAGTTCTATCACATAATGACTGACACCAATATTGTCCTTTAAATGAAAAGTTGACAAGTAGTGCCGATCGCTTGTTAATTAGACAAAAACGCAGTTTGTGGAAAACAAATTTGAAGAATATTTAAACTGTTACGACGAATATTGTAATACTATAGATGATGCAGCCATTGCAGCCTATAATGAATAGTATTTCACCGAGAGAAATAACTATATAGAAACGTCCAAACAAAGTGATAGTGAATGGTTTAGTATAAATAAAACCCCAGTACCAAGTTTTCGCACTAGTAATTCACCAACATCGACGTTGTCGTCGGCACGGATAAAGGAAGTACTAATGCTTGCTGTGCTGGAAACAATGGCGGAAACACAAAAGGAACAAGAATTTGAACTAGAAATGCAATTTGAACTAGACATGGAAAAAGAAAAAGAAGCATTGGACTTGACTGAAATTAAAGTAAAACATCAGCAAACAAAATAGAACTAGAAACGGACATTAAAGTAAGTAGAAAAATGTCAAAGTTCTCAAAGAACTGGGACGTCAGCATTGCCTCAATAGTTGCAATAATAGTGACCATGTTAACGATTATATTTCTATATATTGTCGTTAGTCAACCTTTGGTAAATCCATCTATTGTTAGTAATTCCATTGTTAACAGGCCTATAGTTAGTCATTCCATTTTAAATGGTAAGGTTAATCTAGAAATTGTAAATCCATCTGATTGTCAGTATTAACATGCTTTTACATAACCATTTTGCATATAACCCTGTTAATATGTCCATTTTGAATCATTATGTAGTATATAGGGTATTAGGGGTAGTATTGGCGTGGTATTAGGTCGTAGCGACGATTGCTGGTACGTGACATTTCGCAATGAGAACCATAATCGTATTCATCATCATCATCGCTATCATAGTCATTCCTCCATTCCTCATTACTATAGTTACCATCGTCATTCCTCCATTCTTCATTACTATAGTTACCATCGTAATTCCGCCATTCCTCATTACTATAGTTACCATTGCTGGTACGTGACATTTCGCAATGAGAACCATAGTCGTCTTCATCATCATCATCGCTATCATAGTCATTCCTCCATTCCTCATTACTATAGTTACCATCGTCATTCCTCCATTCTTCATTACTATAGTTACCATCGTAATTCCGCCATTCCTCATTACTATAGTTACCATTGCTGGTACGTGACATTTCGCAATGAGAACCATAGTCGTCTTCATCATCATCATCGCTATCATAGTCATTCCTCCATTCCTGATTACTATAGTTACCATCGTCATTCCTCCATTCCTCATTACTATAGTTACCATCGTAGTTCCGCCATTCCTCATTACTATAGTTACCATTGTAATTCCTCCATTCATCATGGTCTTCATCATTACTATCGACTTCATCATTACTATAGTCACCATTCTCAGATTTCTCATGTCTATAGTGATTCCTCCATTTCCCATTACTATAGTTACCATTGTAATTCCTCCATTCATCATGGACTTCATCATTACTATCGACTTCATCATTACTATAGTCACCATTCTCAGATTTCTCATGTCTATAGTGATTCCTCCATTTCCCATTACTATAGTTACCGTCGCCATCCCTCCATTCCTCATTACTATAGTTACCATCGCCATCACGCTTGGCCTTGCTGTTGCCAGTGGTGACATTAACATCCACACGATCATTGCTTCGTTTCCTCAGAGAAAGATGGGATCTTGTATATCGGGTCAGTTCCTCCATTTGTCTTTTCAAATTAGTAATTTCTTTTTCAACCCGTCGAGGATTTTTAAAGTCAATGCTGTTCTTCTCTCCAAGTTGCAGAATTGCTCCTTCCTACAACGACATGGTAATATATATATATAAGATATAAATGGAAGGTCCATTTAGAATTACATTTCTACGCCGCAGAAGATCCCAGAAATTTGTAACAACCTTTGCTCGGAAGACTGGCGTGGTCAACTTTGTTCACACTAACATGAAATGAGTTTCAACACCGTTCTCTAAGTGCATGCCAAAGAGTAATCGGATGGACCTCAGTTTATCGTCAATCCATCATGCACCACTGACTAGGAGATATATAAGGCTAGATATTCCCGAAGCCGGAACCTCCTGGTTACTGAGCCCATTTGGATACTGTAAGTGGTTTAAAAGACACATATTTATTTCATCTCTAAGCAAGAAAACGTTTATATATTTTCACTCATGCTACGCATTCGTGAAAATATAAGTTTTCTTGCGTCTCGATGAAATAAAATATGTTATTCACTCTAAAACGACAAATATTCTCTATTTATTTCTTACCTTTGTATACATGTGGATGATATAGGTGTCACCCTGAAAGGAAAATAATGCACATTCTTCTATAACTGTCAAAACAAAAATGGATGAAATGTAAGTAAAATATACATAATTCTTTATCTTCCCTTTTCTTCTGTTTAGCGGATAAAAACGGGAATTCCCATGAGAAATCGGAAATCCCATACAATTTGTTTAAATTTGAAAATATAAACTTTACGGCCATAGTTCGGAGTCACAATCCATAGTAGCCAAAATGCGCTAGTTTGTCGCCTGAAGATATTTGCAGTCGGTTGGGTGGGGGATTGCGTAAACCTTGAGAAGGAGGAAGTGAAAAGCGAATGACGGAAATTCTATCGACAGGAAAACCAGATAAGTTTTGTTTTGTTTGTCCCAGGCGGCGATTCCTGTTTTGTTTTGATAATTATAGTTCTAAATATGCTTAGAATTGGACCCATTAGAAAATCTATGAATTTGATATGAACAAACGTACATGGAGTCAAAGTTGGGGTAAAAATGAAATAATGTTTTAAAATTATAATTTACCCCTTTCTTTCTTTCTTCTTTCTATACGGGACCTTTTATGAATAAAATTACTTTTTAAAGAGCCCCCCCCCCCACCCACCACCACCACAGTTTCACCTGAGACGAGATGGGGAAAAGACGTTGGCACCTTCCCTTGATGTCTCAGTATGTCCGCCACACGTGGTCGAACTTGAAGAATGTGACATTTATTTGGCTATTTTTAAAGAGTAATTATTATTTCCGTTTATTTCATGATAGACGAATATATTTCATCAATTTATAGCAATCATATCTTTCCCATTTCCCCGCTTTTGCATTGTAATTTGCTTTGACATGTTTTTCAATAATCAAAGACACAGTTAAACAGCCATAGCTAAATCGCTTTCAAAAATGTTACATTGGACTCGTTGTACATGTATTTAAAACAATTAAAGATACATTATGGGGGATTTAAAGAGCTGGCAGGTCTCACTATAATAGTTAAAATCTAAATAATGTAAAGGGAATTTGCTGAAAATTTCAGTCACATTGATCAACTCTTGAGTCGAGATTTTAACGATTGAATTTACGGCCAAGCCTCGGCCATCATTATTAAAGTCGGTAGGATAAAAACATAGTCTCGATTATTCATTTCATGATTAAGTTATGAACAGCAAATCCGAACCTAATCCAATAAACATCGCAGGCTAGCGATGCCATCGAGAGTTGATTATGGTCTGGATAAGTTAATTAATGTCTAATTACTAATTTAGATAACATTTCAGGTCTAAAGAAAGACCTGCAATAGGCAGATTTAGATCTTGCATAATGTATATTTAAGTTTCACGGAATGCTCGAAAAAATTTATAGGGCAAAAACTGGCATGCATTTAACATTGATGTCAATAGAAAATGAATTACACATCCGATTATGTGCGTTCAGCGGTCTTGAATTTCGTCCAACGTACCACTTCCATATATATTAAATTTAGTCCTGAGTTTGTGATATTATGATTGCAGAATTGAAGGGACAAGATCTAATCACGGCAGTCGTAGGATACATAGGCCTAAATAATTAATACGTACTGTCATCTCCTTAATACTTTTCTTATCCGCTATCATCCGTCCCCCGTATGCCATTATAATCAACGAATAAGATAAACAAAAAAAAGAGGAAAATTAAACTACAAGAAAGTGCTGCAAGTAGAAATAATAGCTAGAATGAATCATATAACGTGCAATTATTTGATTGGTGATGGAGACGTACAAACCCAAATGTCTAATAATAGAGGTTTATATTTATGTATACAATGTCACCGGTGCACGATATTTATTAATCATGTGATGTTTGCTATGAAGCTGAGACCAGTTTATTTATTCGTGCAGGCAGACAGGTAGCCTACATCATAATACACATGGTGTAAGCGTTTGCGCAATGCGTCCCAACGCTTCACCACACACACCAATAATCTTCTTATCACCCAACACAATGACAATTCATTTAGAGGAAAATACAGTATATTAACATCAATACTGGAAGGTACACCTATCTATGAGACGTAATTTTAATATAGACGGAGCCTATTGGAGACGATTAACTGAAAATAAAATAAAATATATGGGGAATAAAGTAGGCCTATTACAAAATATACTGTTCATTATTAGGCCACTTTATTAACTAATGCCAGAATAAGTACACACACACACACACACCCTATCTTAAATTTATGTACATGTATGTATTAAAATAGACTCGTCCAAAGTACCAGCTTGTAGACGCAAAAAATAAATCGTACCTTGTCTTTAGATTAAAATGTGCACTAAATAATCCAAATTTGAAGAAACAAAAGACACCATACCATTCTTAGATTATCACCTAACAGTAGCATATTGAAATAGCAAAAACGTTTCATACGAAATATGCAAGAAATAATTAATACAAAGATCCCAATCAGTGCAAGACATAACAGATCCCAAAGACATAACAGCACGGAGCACAATCACCTGTAAATGACAGGCAAAACAATTGATCTTAGCATTAACAATCTGACATCTTCTTAAACAAACCAGCGGCTGCCGGGCAGGATACGCCCACATTTTCGAGAGATGGATAGAAAACAAGCTAACAAGAAATTGATTTTTCCTACAATCAAGGGCCATAATTCAGGAAATTACAATTCGATATGCGCAAATATCGAAAGGAACTGAACGAACGGCAGCCATTTTGTCTGTCAATACGGTTTTTTAAATCGGATAAAAATTATGACCTCTATAGGATCCACAAGCTAAAAACGCAATTTTTCGTACAATCAGGGGCCATAATTCAGGAAGTTACGGTCCGATATGTGCGAATATCGAAAGGAACCAAGATCTTTGGGTTATAAACTTACATTTCAAGTTTCAACAAAATCGGATAAAAATTGTGACCTCTATAGGGTCCACAACCTTGATATAACATATTCTTATGCTATGCCAGAACGAACGGCGGCCATTTTGTCTGTCAATTTTGGGCCGATTTTCACGAAATTCAAACTCAGTCGTCCTTAGGGTGTAACGGTTATATAATAATACGGTTTTTTAAATCGGATAAAAAATATGACCTCTATAGGGTCCACAAGCTAAAAACGCGATTTTTCGTACAATCAGGGGCCATAATTCAGGAAATTACGGTCCGACATGCGCGAATATCAAAAGGAACCGAGATCTTTGGGTTATAAACTTACATTTCAAGTTTCAACAAAATTGGATAAACATTGTGACCTCTATAGGGTCCACAACCTTGATATACCATTTTCTTACGCTATTTGAGAACGAACGGCGGCCATTTTGTCTATTAATTTTGGGCCGATTTTCACGAAATTCGAGTTCAGTCGTCCCTAGGGTGTAACGGTGATATAATAATACGTTTTTTTTTTAAATCGGGTAAAAATTATGACTTCTATAGGGTCCACAAGCTAAAAACGTGATTTTTCGTACAATCAGGGGCCATAATTCAGGAAGTTATGGTCCGATATGCACGAATATCGAAAGGAACCGAGATCTTTGGGTTATAAATTTACATTTCAAGTTTCAACAAAATCGGATAAAAATTGTGACCTCTATAGGGTCCACAAGCTAAAAACGTGATTTTTCGTACAAACAGGGGGCATAATCCATGAAGTTTCGATCCGATACATGCCAATATCGAAAGCAGCCGAGATCTTTTGGGGATAAACCTATATTTCAAGTTTCGTCGAAATCGGATAAGAATTGTGACCTGTAGAGAGTCCACAAACAATTGTGGACGGACGGACAGGGGCGACGGCATAATACGTCCACATGAAAATGTGGGCGTACAAAAAGTTTTAACGTATATAGAGACATACTATCAAGAAATAGTCTTGCTTACCTATGTCTGAAATTTTTGAACTTGACACGTGTTATATAGCCTATCTAACTATCAAGGTGAATGCCATCTGCAATAGAAGGCTCCATCTCGCTTTAACTCCTTGCATCTTATTAGGATATGATATGATGTATCTAGCTTTAGCTCCCCAAACTCACCCATGCATATACGTTAACGTCTTATCGAATTTCAACTTTCAAGTTTCTTTTAATCCTACCCCAACATGTACAGGATGGGTCTTGTTGGTTTGTCGAGATTCTTTTTGAAAAAAGAATCATTTTCTTATAAAGTGGGTATATCTTTTGCACTCTTGCTTCCCCACCTCAGATCGTTTTCTCAATTCTAGAAATGTATGGGTATATTGTTACACGGATTAGATTAATTAATTTAGAAAGTATTAAATAATTCTAGCTACCATATAATCGTAGCCGGCGCTGCATGGCAAGGTGTCGAAGATGAAAGACCCGGCGTCGCTGATGTAGCCTTGATTGCCTCAGGAAACTAAACATAAGCAACTTAAGATCACCAATGGCGCATCCATCTTGGATATGAATGATCGTCACTGCGCATTCAGTGTGGCGCGTTTCATTCTGAATTCAATCCGAATAAACAGTAATGTGACGCACAGCTTTTAAACCGGGAAAAACCAACCCGAATTCGGGCGACCGGTCTCCGGAATTCCCATTGAATGCGAATGCAGTGTGAACGCAGCTGTATTGTGATAGTTAGATGAATGCCATTCACAGAGCTGTGCTTCTGCCCACCCCAGAGTGGATCGGTCGACGAATAGCTGATGGCACAATAGACGTCCTTATGAAATCAAGAGATTTGAAATTACTAAACATTTTGGATTTGTGTGACAAGTGTTGATTTATTTCGTGAAGTGGGTACAGACACGGTCAGTTTGGAGATAGCTGATAGCTGATTTTGTTTTCAGCAGTCCTAGCAACCAACTTTCTGCTTAATATTCCAAACGAAAATGTAATCGTTCCATCACTAAACCAAAGATACAACCAATTCAATACTTTCTTTTATCCTCCATTATCTCGGTCATTAATACGTTAAATTCATTTATTACCTTTCAATTTTCGCAGAGGATATTCGCCATCCGAATGGCAAAGAGTAATTCGTTTTCGTTATTTGCGGAATCAAAACCACGCCAATTGAGTAAATGGCAGACCTTTTGATCCAACGCGCAGGCGTTAATCGCCCACCCCACCCCGCCCAAATGCAGTATAGCGTACTTAATATAATAGGAGGAGTCACGGTGGCTCAGTCAGTTAGATGTTGGCTCGCTAACCTGTTGATTCCGTGTTGGCCGAGAAAGTTCATCTGGATTTCCCGGCGTCGTTCCTTCTTAACAGTGATGAAAGAGGTTCTGGCTAAAAACAGCCTACAGCTGCAAATATCAAAAAAGGAAGGCAAAAGACCCTTTGCAATCCATATGTCGAATTATTCTTTGACATCCGAATGCCGAACTCTTCTGTCAAATGAGAAAGTTCATCCGGATTTTCCGGCCAGGTTCCGGTATGGTGTCTGTTTACACTGTTAGCTTTGAATAACACATGACAATTAAAAAGGGATTTTGGGTCCTTTTTTCAATAGAAGCACAAACAATTTACTATAATGTTCCGGTGGGGGCGATTAACGGCCACAAACGCGTTTCCTACTGTTCCATCCCGTGAACACAGCAACTTTAACGTGGTGCAAATTGGCCTAACCTGAATTCCAAACAACAAATGAATCGTTACGGCCGGCTAAAAATTTTACTGCGGCAAATGCATTTTTTTCTGCATTTTTTGTCCGTGAGTTAAGTAGCTTCAAAGTTGTCCAATTGTTTTGCAACCGAAATCCTTCTCTATGCCGACATAAATTTACTCATCCAATTATTAACTGATGCCCGAAAAATGTTGCACAAAGCAGGGGGCTCCAGAAAAAAATATCTTAATCCGTAGTCAATTCAGAACAAATTCGCAGTATTAAAATAAAAGCAAAGTATAATTAGTTTTTTATTTCGGGCACTTTATTTTGATAATTATATTATTTTTTGTTCACTACCTGAAAAGTTAGATTGACCCCTCTCCCCCTGGTTCGTACGCCTATGTATTGTGTCAGCTCGAAGTCGGGGAGTGATATTGGCCTAGTGGAATTGCGCTGCATCAGGGCTGTCTTACAATATAGGCTACAGGGCAAAGCAGTGCACTGGATGCCCTACCTACACAACCACTCACGGGAATCCAAATGTAAATGGTAGATAAAACTAAACATATATTTATTGTACTTGTACCTCTTAACAATATCAGTGTTTAATCTTAACTGCTGGCAAGCCCATAAGATGATAGGGAGAACTGAGACTGAGAAAATAGTACAAACATAAAACAAAAGACTAATTATTTAAGATTTGTTTTTCTTTTTATTCCAGGTTGGTTTTCCCATATAAAAGGGGATATTGCTCCATTTATAATCATAATAAAATATGAATTTTTCCACTTTAGACGTGGGCTTAAAAAGGATCTCACCCTGTTTATCTGAAACAACTTCCAGTTCGCAAAATTGTTTAAGTCACAGACAAAAGTTTCGTGTGTGGCCAGTAATATTTTTGTTTTAGTGATAAATGGTGAAATCTGTCCAATCATTGGTCATTAATTTGAAAAGGGTGACATCCTCTTTAACGCAGAACAACATTTTGTGCTCATAATACGTAATCCCATTTCATGACTTATAATTACCACTATTTACGTGGGGCTTAAAGAGGCACTCATCCTACGAGCTCGGCTTTTAACCAAAAAAAAAAAAATCCGTCGTATTGTGAAACTGTTTGTTTGGATATAACGTTAGGCAATCGCAACGTGGTAAACAAGTTAACAAAATGTTATAACGCTTTATATCGTCGTCGAGACTCCTTGTAATAAGCGACCCAAGGAAACCTGCGAAACACACAAAACCTAGCTGGAACGAAATTTTAAAAGTATGGAAACATATGTGAGTAATACCTTTTATTAAATACGTCCAGTTTCATTAAATATTCATGAAAGTTTTCGAGAAACTGCGATATATTTTTTTTTAAAAATCTGCGCCCTTTTAAATTTGAACTTTATTTTAGATAAGCATAGACTTTAAAGAATGACTACCTCTTTAACGCTCTTTTTGTATTACAAGGGAATGTTACCGTATCTGTGGGCCTTATTTTACACCCTTTCTCCCATTTCAGAGGAACATTATAATTGTGGGCTATCTAGCACCAATCATCTACGGCGCTATTACTCAAACGCGAGCGTATATTATAACGTTTACTTCTGAGACGCATCTTCAACCGTACTCATTGCGCCTTAGGTAGCAGCCAACCATGGTATTCTTGTTTTCTCACCTAAAAAGAAATGCTAAAAGATAGAAAGTGCTTATATCACACCCTATTACCGACAACTGTGACAGCTGATGAAATCCGGAACACAGATTCGAAATTTAAAAAAAATTTCTTCCACATGAAAATTTGGATTTACAATTTCTGTCTCGTATGTTCCTACGGTACTGTTGAATTGGCATCCCCGTCGTTCTCTTATAGGTGACAGAGGATAAAAAAAAATACAAAAAACACAATAGTTGACGTAGAGACGCATCCCTGTTTTTCTAAAATTTTACACTTCTTTCAGCTAAAATATGTTTCTTCAACTCTTTGTCTAGTTTAGGCAGAAAGATATTTTATTTGATAATAATAATGGATGACCATTTTGATTCAACTTACCTCCGAAGCATCTTTAAATTACAGATGACTTTAGGGACGTGCATCATCATCTTCACTATCACCATGACCGCCTTCACCATTTCCCTCTCTCTCTTCTTCATCATTGTAAGCATCTTCACAAACTTCCTCGTCCACATCTGCCTCTCCCTCCGCTTCATCATTGCTATAACCGTCTTCACCTTCTGCCTACCCCTCTTCTTCCCGAGTCTTTCTATCTCCGACCGAATCTTCTGTTTCATCTTTCTTTGACTTTTTCGAATTTTTGTTGTCAAATGGCTGATGATTGATCTTTTCATCTCCGAAAGTTGAACACGTATCAACTTTGTCTGGCTTAAGAATTGTTTTTCAATATTCGCCATTCTGATTGACAATCCCTCCGGCATTTCGGACATCATGGTGTTTTTCTCGCCAATCTGAACAGATGACTCCTACAACAATAACAATGTTACATTGTAAAACGAGAAAATAATTTGCACTTCATATGCAATTTGTTTTGTGCCCGAAGAACAAAACAAATCTGAAGACGCACAAATGCTTTCATCGTTTATTAACATGGCGGGAACTATCAGTCACTGTAAACATATATATATATAATATATATATATATAAAACGATCTAACTCTGACGATTCGTTTGATAACGATGAAAGTACTAGCCAAAATTTAATTTGTAGTGTTTTTTCTCTAATATACTATTCAAAAAAAGTAGGGGATATTTGATTTTTAAGTGTTATTAAAGTCACCTAATGAAACTGACGAAGAAACAAATGACAAAATGAAATGAAGTTCACATTCATCGATTTATTCCAAATGATCGTTAGACTAAGTAAGGCACAGACTGACCATTATAAGGGTAAAATGATACCCGGGGTCAAACAGCAAAGTTACCACAGCATCACAACCAAGTCAGTGACGGGTAAATCCTCCTCTGTTTGCCAAACAAGCATTGATCCGACGTGGCATACTCCTAATGAGACGTCTAAGGTCATTTTGGTCCAGATTGTCCCATTCCTGTTGCAACGCAGCAGCAAGTTCTTGGACATTGGCAGGACGTTGTTGACGTTGACGTAACCTCTGTCCAAGCATGTCCCAGACATGCTCGATGGGGGAGAGGTCGGGACTCAGTGCTGGCCAAGGTAATGTGGTGATGTTCTGTTGTTGGAGGTAACCTGTAACGATCCTGGCCCTGTGACATCTTGCGTTGTCATCCTGGAAGATGAAACGGCGGCCATGACGTCGTGCGAACGGCACAACATGGACTGCCAAGATGTTGTCCCGGTAGTACTGGCCTGTAACACGCCCTGCAACAACATGTAAAGCCGTTCTTCCAGCAACAGTGATGCCTCCCCACACCATAACAGAACCACCCCCAAATCGATCATGCCTGATGATGTTAACGTCTTGGAAGCGCTCGTTTCGACGACGCCACACCCTCCTACGTCTGTCCAAAAAATCAACAGTGAACCTTGACTCATCTGAAAACATCACATTGCTGATCTGATTTGAGGTGATGACACGATTTCTCAAGGCCAAGGTACGGATAAATCGATCCTGGGCTTGAGTTGTCGACCTGAGCTTGAGTTGTCGACCTGAGCGTGGTCTGTCCTGTACAGATTGTGTATCACGGTATCTGGACCATAGCCTGCTTATGACAGACTGAGAAACATTCATCGTCCGCGCCACAACCGCCTGTGTTGTGCCGATCTGTAGCATGCCAAGGGCACGTAACCTTTCATTTTGGGTAAGCCGACGCATATCAAAATTTGTTTTCTGGTCACTAAAACAATTAAACTGATGTTTCCACCCTGGAATTCAATGCCACAATGACTGTAACATTCAAAGTCAGAGTCGTGCAAATCTTGGGTTGGACCCCCATGATGATCCCAAGCATCACCTGCATTCCATGCGGTAGCTATTGGTGCGTTTGGGCGTCACATGTAACTGGAAATGTTTCTTCTGTTAGGTTCTATAGTGACTTTTTTCGTAGTCATTTGCATATTTTAGTATTATGCCCCCAAAATCAAATATCCCCTACTTTTTTTGAATAGTATACTTGAATTTTACTTTCACGGTAAACGACGAAAAGATAAAAGGTATGCCGACACAAACTGATTTCAACACTGGTTTAATAATATTTTAACATTTTAAAGTACTTTTCGTCCGTCTTGGGACTATTCATAAATAATGCCATTGTATAAACATGGACAGTATAGTAGTATATTTATACATATTTACATAGAAGCACTGGTTTTAACTGGCTATAGTTACCATTGTCTATGGTTACATAGTAAATCGGTAACTAATGGAAAAATGTACACACGAGTGGAAGATAATCCTGGGATAGATGTAAGAAAATCAATGAAGTTAATGGCCAAGTGTTACTTATTGACCATTAAGTCGAGGAACATATTATTTCGTAAAATGTCAACGGCTTTAATTTTATAAAAAGGGAAAATTTGAAGTTTACTTGTAGGTATTGTGCACATCTAAAGATATGTCTATTTACAAATAAGGGCCCATTTTCAATATTACAATCCCGTCGATGGTTGTGTACCCTATCCCGTAGATTTATGCCCGTCTCCCCGATGTAATTCGGAGGACTGGTGCATTTTTATATATATACGTTAACATGTTAAAGTACTTATTAATACAACCTAAGACTTTAGTTATACACCAATTCTATACGCAAATGGCAGATGTAAGCGTGACCATATATAAAATTTCTTACCTTACTACTGATGTTAAAGATGTTAGTAGTTCCCTGAAAAATCAAAGATGTATACCTTTTCAGAGGAAGTTGATAGAATTCACATAATAAATGCAATAACAGGACTCCTTATCAACGAGCAGACAAGTCATGCGCACTAGCAACAAAAGTACGTGTTTACAATTTATTCCCTGTCTACTAAAACAATAGTTTTTATATTTATAGACAAGGCATAGAGATATAAGATGGTTTAGAAAATATTTGTATCTTTACAAAACATTATCTATTGTTAGTATATTAGCTATGGTATGAATTTTTTTAAAACGCAAATTAATTGTTTATGAAATAGTGTGAGAATAACAGGAAAGAGGGTCTAAGTTCAAGGGTAGATTGTGTCAAAAAACATTTGACTGGAAATTTACCTATTGCGTCATTTGGTTTAGTTTGACCAATCACATGATTAATTACATCATAATTAGCCAATAGAATAATTAATGGGTGTCAATCTGAGAATATATAATTAATAGAATGCGCGTTCTAGGGTAGACAGCCATGTGGTTCTCGTAGGGAGAAGATGTAGGAATTTCCATCAGCAGACTCGCCGCATGAGAGCGGGTTAGAGAGAATGTCTTTATTCTACTATGCATTGTACCATATGTAATCAGCTATGATATATAAAATGTAAAAACGAACTGTTGCATTGTTATTCCTGGTAAGACAAACGTATTAAGAAAAGAAGTAAATACACAACGTGAAGCAGAAGCAAAGACAAATAGAGACAAATTCTAGACGATCACAAGGCTACTAAGATATGTGGAAAGAAAAGATGCATAGGATATGGCGGCCGGTTAGGATCACCCGCTCTCCACGTCTGACAGAAGACTGATGGTACTACATCGATCGTACTCAGTCGGTTTTTGCCTTTGTTTTCTTACACTGGATCACTTGGATTAAGATCCTGGTCTGGCCAGGCCATTTATGTTACAACGGGTGTAGATCTTAGTGCCAGTCATTACAAATCAATAACAGCAGACGAAACTACAACGAACTGTATTGACCATTAAAATTGTAATAAACAAAAAGAACAAACAAAATGAGGTAGATAAGGGATTGTATAGTTTACTTAACAAAAAACTAAAATGTATGTAAACTTCGATTTAAATTTCAACGTCCCAATTTAATCGAGGATTCTGCTGTTTATATCTTCCAGGAATTGCTGTCAATAGAACTACATTTCTGGGCAATGTATTTGTCTTGGTCGTGCATTTACTAATTTAATTCGCTCATAACGGAAAATATTTATAGTTTGGTAGCCAGCCAGGCTTTCTGGTGATAATATTTTACGTAGAATTTCAACAAAAAGGTAACAGTAAAATAATAATAAAAAATAATAATAATAATAAAGGCTATGCGGGTCTAAGCCTCCGCGTATTTGTGCAGCTACAAAAATTTTTAATCTCCCCACTCTTTTAAGTTTGTAATGGCACGGTCCATTTTTTGCATTTCATCAACACATCTGCGACCGAAATCTGTTTATCATCTGAACGTACCAAGTTATAGGGTGACAACTTTCGGTTATCGTCCAGTAATACCCCCAACCAACCAACCAACGGCAACGCACGGCTAGATCTATTTCTTAAAGCCAAGGTTGCTGAGATGTAAATAAGGTTATGCACGTGATTGTCGGCGAGATTGTAGGTTAGGGAACGCTTTAGGACTAGAGTTAGGGTTAGGGTTGGGATTAGCGCTAGCCCTATTTATATCTCGTGACCTTTGACCAAACTTTTGTAATAGATCTGACCGCAAATGCACCACCTTATTTTCAATCAAGAAACTTTTTAAAAACTCATTTTTTCAAACATTAAGTTATAATTTATAGCTAAAAACTCGTTATGGCGATATGGCGATATGCTTGCCAAGCACTGCGAGCACTTTTGTGTGTATGCGGGGGGGGGGGGGGCTAGAATAATTAACAATTATTACACGGGTAGTGAAATGAAATGAAATGAAATGGAGTTTAACGTCCTACTGTTCTGCGCCTAACCTGGGCTAATGAAGACGGGCATACGCCATACAGTGTGAGGGAAATTTTGCCCGGACTGCGGCACTACGGCCTACTCTTATATCGAATTCCAACTGCCAAGGGGTCTTTTACGTGCACGCCAATGTGTACACGGGTCCTCGGTTTTTCGTGCCATCCGAACGACTAGACAGCTTTCCTTGTCAGCCCCTCCCTCCTGCATCACTGACAAGGGAGAACCACGCCGGAAAATCTGGATGAACTTTCTCGGCCAATGCAGGGATCGAACATGCTAGCGTCTTACCCACTTAGCCACGCGATCCCCTACACGGGTAGTGCCCTGAAATCGGAAGTAGAATTACCAGAAGGGGTAGTGGAACGCCACCAATCCGATGTCAGTCCGCGGATCGAGCTGCCCTTATATTATATCACTCGTCTTTCGAGTTGACGCAACTCTTGTTTGGTACAGTCAATTGTTATTCAGTGTCGTTTAGCTTTATAGACGATCCCATTATTGAATGAACAGGTTAACCTCCATGGACAACCCAACTGTGATATATTTCGCCGATGCGTACCCAGATTGCATTATAGTAAAAACCTTGTTCATATATATGCCTGACGAAGTTATAGCGATAACTGATCGTCCCGATTATCAAGTCACCTATACAATCGAACAATTTAAATCCTTAAATAGTTGTAACCTCATTAAGCGAACCTTGTGATTATTTCTGAAAGTCTCAATATTTTTATTTGGAACTTTCAGCCAAAGTAATTGAGCATTTGCTTTTAATTTTGGCTTTGCATACTACACTTTATACCTACATCAGTGGAAGATTTCGCCTTGCAAAGGTGCGCAGCTACCAGAGCGTTTGAAACAGGTATTCCCAGTTTCGCCTGAGTGAATAGATCACAATATTTACATCCGCAATGAATTATTTAGCGCTCCAACATCATCTCGTATTATTTACCAAATGTTAAAAACTGTTTGACGTTTTAAAAGCAATCTCACCGAACGTAAACGATGGGAAAAATTAAGTATTCAGTAATATCCAAAATCAACAGACGTCATTTGACGACTCCAACAAATGGGCGTGGCACGTAAAAAAGACAAATTATGATATTAATTCTGTTGCATATTTAGGATAACAACGGTACCCACCTCCTTATTATTGTTGTTATTCACCTCCTCTGATTCCATTGAAAGTTGGAACTGACGAAACGAAAACTAATAAAATTAATTAATCCTCTTTAAGAGAACGACCAAATACAGTCCAGGTTATGGACCGTGTGCAAATATTAGTATGTGAGCATGCGCGTTAACAATTATTCTTTCTGACACGTGGATAGAGATTAAAATAAGTAGCTTGTCATATTAGATATAGAAAATAATATCTTTTATATCACACACATTGAGCCTTGTATACAGCAGTCTATAAATAGAATTTGTTTAGATGCATATTGCATAACGACATTCAAGGTCAAAAGGAATTTAATAATATCCTTAACCTTTAAATTATGTTGGTGTGGGTGGGGTATGGGGTAGAGGATTAAAAATATGAAAAAGAGAAGAGCAGCACACACATGCCTGTCCAACTGACAGAACTAATAGTAATATGTCAAATTACACGGCAAAAGTAGAACGTCGAGTGAGCCATTTTCGTAATAACATTTTTACGATAAAAATAATATCACCTTTGCAATAAAAATAATAGCATTTTTGCGATAAAAATAATAGCACTTTTGCAATAAAAATAAAAACATTTTGCAATAAAAATAATTTTGCATTAAAAATAATAACATTTTTGCAAGCTTAAAAAATCTGTTAAAAACTATATATTTCGTTCACAACATTTTCTGCAAAGGGAGTGGAATCCCGAAAAGTCACAGAACGCTGAATGTCGATAGGGTTCATCCACCCATGGCCCCACAGCTTCATATCAGATTTGAATCGTAGCCACTAACATGGTGACTGTATCTCTTTCACAAGTTTTTCGGCAAGGGGTGGGATAATTCCTGTATGGAAGGTCATGGAACGCTTAATATCGATACGATTTATCCCCTAATGATCGCAGAGCTGCACACCAAATTATAAAAAATACCAAATTTAAACTGTAGCCTCTATCGCTATCACTAGGATTTCGGCAGGGATGGGAGGAGGGGAGGGGTGTGTATAGCGCTTAATATCGACAGGGTTCATATGCTGAGACCAGTTTACAAATTGGTGATTGCAAATGTGAGAGTGTAGAAGCATACCACAAGCAATCCTTCATCGACTTGTCGCGACTTTAAATTCAATGGTGTTTAACGTCCTACTTTTCTGCAGCAGCAACTCCAGCATTCATGATAAAAGATGTATTGCTAACCAATTACATAAATGAATAAAACAGAATGATGGATATATAACGAATTAGGTGTGGCTCTGTTATAGTGTATCTTTGTATATATTTTATTACTATTGGTCAAAATAGCAATTGACCAATGTCCGAATTGATATTTTTTTTTTTATAAACATATTTTATTCACTATAAATGAATGGGAAATTGGGGAACAGGCAAAATGCCTATGTCAGACCCCTATCCCTATTTACAATACAAATTATATACTAATAATGAAAAGCAGTATATACAATATATACAACCCTTACTTAGTTGAGTACACCTAAAGTATTATAGTATGTAATAATAATAATAATATTAATAATAATAATAACAACAACAATAATAGTTTAAAATCGTTTAGATAAATTGAAGTATGATTGAACTGTTGTAAAGATAAGGTTATTAATTTCGTTTGTGGAGTCATGCAAGCCATAGAGTAGAGTTATGCTGTTCTTATACTCATCAGGTAATGTAGAAATGGTTTTTCGTCGAAAAGTATTGAAGTTTAAAATCGTTTAGATAAATTGAAGTATGATTGAACTGTTGTAAAGATAAGGTTATTAATTTCGTTTGTGGAGTCATGCAAGCCATAGAGTAGAGTTATGCTGTTCTTATACTCATCAGGTAATGTAGAAATGGTTTTTCGTCGAAAAGTATTGAAGTTTGGACAGTGTAAAAGATAGTGTTCGCTATCCTCGAAAAGGTGACCACAATTGATATCGCGCTAATCTTTCAGGTCTTTTAACTGTTTAGGTTTATACTTAATGTAACGATATATATTACGTAATTATGGTTAACACGCGTTCTTGCTATGTCGATATCTTCTTCTGTATTAAACATCTGTTTCCTATGTACAATTTAATATCTCTGATCAAATATTATTATATAATTATTTTTATCCTAGGCTTGTATATATGTTCTATATTCTACTGTATCTTTAGTCTGGTGACCGGCTCGCACTAGCGATACCAATCTCGTTATTGTGACCGTTAGCCAGTTTTGGACACTCGTTTATTAAAAGTACAATTTTAACTATTGATCTGAGTTTTCGTCGTTAGTGTTGGTATAAGCTACAACCCCCAGAAAACAGCACTTTGGCAGCTCGATGCCGGTAATGCTTAGTCATTCTAGAAAACCTGACAATGACAACGTTTATTTGAATAGTTTACTATTTGTACAATACTAGTTGTACAATATCCTAAAAGTTAATTCGTCCTTAACTTTTCAAACCAGCACAACCCGTTTTACTGTTCGTTTTAATTATTTTTATGACGCATACAATTTTGTGCGACAAATTAGAAGAATAAACGAAACTAACTTGTAGTCTTAATTTAAAATTAAAATGTAATGTTCACGATACGGTGATTTCTGGGAAAAGCCTGTTTGCTGTTGATTTTCATGTCTTTAATTTAGTTTAAACATGATCTATTTCTAACCCATATATCTCGTTTTAATCTTGGCAATTCAAATCTAATTAATCTTTATAAGCTTACTTGTTTGCAGAGTAAGCTTACTCTTCCGGACACCTGTTACCACTGTTTGTTATATATTTTGTACACGGTGATCAGTCCATTTGCTGATTACACTATTTAGCCTATACTTGTTCGTACTTGTTTTTTTTTTATTTTTAATAAATAATAACACATTTTAATCCATGTCTTTAAACATTATAATATACTTTTATAATTTGTTTGTTTGTTTTGTTCTATTCGCAAATGTTCATGTCAATCAAAGAATTGAGATTAAACAACATTCCAATCTTATCACCGAACTGTTTATCTAGAACAGTCATAAAGAAGACCACGGTCGCTGAACACCAAGTTGTGGAGAACACAGCGAATAACAGTATATCCATTGTACAACAACTTCCGCGGTAGCGGTCTGATTTGCATCGCATTGTTTTACTGATGATTTTCACTCCCCTTGACCACTTGTTCGTCTGGGAAATCTCGTCCTTAATTTTATTCTGGCATGTACATTTCCAATCCGCATTCCTCTTTCTCTTGTACAGCAAAACAATAGTGGTTAGAACCGCCAGACCACTCAGCATTAACAGACAACTGATCTAGGCTGTTATAAACACCAACTTTGAAGATGTTTGTGGGAGAAGGTTGCTCACGGTTGTCAAAAACACAGCAAGTGCAAACAAAACTGTGATGAAAAAAGACGTCTTCTCTCTAGAATCATCTGGTAGCCAAAATTAACATATTTCTCCGTTTGAATTTAAAGTGATAGTTTTAAAAACGATATGCCGTGATCCTCTTTAGGACTGACACTGGGAGAGATCAGCTTCCATTCACCATTGGGTTTAAATACAGAATAATTTGTTAATTCATCATTATGCTGAAGCTGAACTTCCTCGCTAGTTAAATGCAAAGGTGCAATCGTTAGTTGACACTCCTGGGTATCAAATGGATATATGGATACGTCCAATGAACATGTCACCGTTATTTTGTTGGTTGGTTTCCATGCGACTTGACCATCATGATAGATAGTTAGTCGGTACCGATCTTCGCCAAACATGTGTCCATCCTCGAGGGAACTTACTATATTCACATATGGTTTCCATATATTAAAAGAATCAAACTGCATCTTATTGCTCCCACCATAGAGACTTGGAACCCATTTTAAAAATTCGTCTGTCCAACTCAAAGAAAAGGAACAGGATACAGTTAAATATTGCTGGATCTCGTTCAGTTCAACCAAATCTTTTGGCTGTGATTGTAACGTGGCCTTATAGAAGTGCTATAATTTGTCAAGAGTGCATTTTGTAAGGTTCGCAAATCATCCGAGGTACCGCCAACATGGCAGAACCAAACAATGTATCTGACGAATGCCAGTGATGACATAATAATTGCCCTTGATTGTTGACACCGAGCCACAGGAAATAAGATCAACTGTGTAAATAAAAATCTAATTTGGTCAAAAGTCTTCTCTTTCGTTCTCTCACAGTTGCTCAGATGGCTGTCCTGTTCTCGTTCGTCTACATTTCGTTTGTGCACCAAAAATAAAATATTAAATAATCTTCCCGGTGAGCTTTTAACGACCCCATGCTTAAATCCACATCACACTACGCGACATTTAATCTTGTACTGAAATTGTTTGAGATGGAAAAGTTAATCACACACTTCGGGGATGTCTATAAGGACTTGTCGTGATTTTAGATGTCTTTCCGATGTCTATGGCATTTTTGCGAATTTTTCGGCAATGAAACAAGAGTTAAATCCAACAAATAAACCCAAAGTATGGTGAGCTTTAGGTTCATTTATTTACCCATATCAACAGACACCGTCGTTACCATTTGCTATTATTACTAATAGAAACAAAGGTGATGCTTAAGAATTAGGTTTTAAAAGTCAGGTTAAGCATTCATTTTCGAATATTTGGATAAACCACACAGAATTTATAACTTGCATCAATAAAAGTTGGGATTTTACCGTTTGGTGAACTGATAATTGATATTTCATTAATGAAATTAATCAACGTAATCGATCCTAAAAGCTGACATTTAATAAAATGCACGAATCTCTAAAACTAAAATAATAATAGAGACAATTGCTACTGACCTTGCGAATTAAAAACAAATCATAATGTGTGGAAGAGAGAGAGGGAGAGAAAGGGGTGTTAACGTCCACTCGACACAAACTAGGTCATTTCTGGACTAACATGGTTTAATTTTATTTCAATAATTCGCTTGCGCTTATAGGAGTCCCTAGCAGTGGGAGAAAACCGGGGGCCCCGGAGAAAACCCACGAGGTTGGACAAAAGACCCTATTTCTTGTCGCGTACAACCGGAGAATCGAAACCACGCCGGTTGACTCAATGACAGACCTTATGATACAGCGCGCACGTGCTAACCATTCCCTCCCCCCACAACTTCTAGAAGGCATGATGGTGTCTGAGAACTGAAAAG